GGCAGAAGAACAGTGCTTGCTAGCCATCCACCACATTAAAAAAAGTAATAAAGAATTGAAACAAATACAAATTCTATGGGGGACAATAAAACCACATATTGCTACAATGCATGTTGTAAACATTAAAAACTAGAGACTTGCCAACCATCGGAATGGGTCCTGTGAAATAATGATGGGAACATAGTCCCCCTCTATGCCCTTACCAGTGGGCATCGGGTGGGAGTTACTTTTATATATTATTGGGGAGTGCCTAGTGTCCCCACCTCAGTACCTATTGTCCTATCCCAAGGCCTCCACCCGGGAGGGATGAGAATATCATTTTGCCTCTTTTTAAATCACTGGTAAGGCCACATCTTGAATATGCTGTGCAAATTTGGACACCTGTTCTAAAAAATTATATTATGGCACTAGAAAAAGTGTGAAGCGGGCTACAAAATTAATAAAAGGAATGGAACATTTTAGCTATGAAGAAAGGTTAACCTTGTCAGGACAAACCAATGGTCCAACACGCAGAATTAAGTCAAACACGTAACAAATAACAAACAGTAACAACGTATTACTGGGCCTTAGAATGGCCGGATTTAACATAAAGAATAACCAGACATGAGTCAAGGTCAGAAATACAGAAAATAACAAATACGATAAGAACAAAGTCAAAGGGTCAGGGATACCAGAAATACGGGAAGTCAAGCCAAGCCAAGATCAAAAACCTATAAACAGAATCAGGAACACGCTCTCAGATAACCAACAAGATGGAAACCATGACAGGGCACTGACCAACTGCAGGCTTGGGTTTAAATACCCCAGTAAACCCTGCTAATGGCTGATTTGGGTCCCATGATCCCAGAACGTTCATGCAAGGCGAAAACATGATGCCGCACGCACGTTCACGTCACTAGTGTCGTCATTATGGGTGGTGTTATTATGTAGCGCCACCTTGCGGTGGCCAGTGTCTTTCCTAACACTGGACCCAGCCACTGTATTAAGAGCTGCATGGAGGGAGAGGTGCTGGAGGTAAGGTGAGTAACCTCTCTCTCCTTTAGTGTTACCGCATTGATCAGATGCGGTCACATCGCGGTGCCGATCGGGCACTGTGATGGTGTGACCGCACTGAATATATGCGGTCACATCATGGTGCAGGTCGGGCACAGCAATAGTGTGACTGGGCTCATCTGGCGTGGTCACACTGAGGTGCCGATCGGGCACCGTGACATATCTCTTTAGTGTACCTCAGAGGTGATATGATAACATACAAATATATCCAGGGCCAATATAAACCATTGTCTGGAAATCTATTCACAAACAGGACTATAAGTAGGAAACTTTTACCATAACAACAATAAGGATGTGGAATTCTTTAACTGAAGAAGTGGTTTTATCAGAGTCCATACCGATGTTTAAAATGCAACTAGATGCATTCTTGAACTGAATATTCAAGGATATAATCTTTCAACTGTAGGGTAATAGCTTCTTGATCCAAGAATAAATCTCACTGCCATTCTGGGTTCAAGAGGAAATTTTTATTCCTAGTTTGTTGCAAAATTAGAAGTGCTTCAAACTGGTTTTTTTTTTTGCCTTCTTTTGGATCAACACCAAAAAGAGATGCAAGGAAGGCTGAATTTGATGGACACATGTCTCTTTTCAGCCTATGTAACTATATATGTTTTTGTTCTCTTTTGAAGATGTGTTTCCCCCAATATGTTTTATTAAAGGGACACCATAGGCAGCCAGACCACTTTAGCTCATTGAAGTTGTCTGGGTAAATGTCCCAGTCCCACTTAGTCCTGCAATGTAAATCATTGCAGTTTTTGAGAAACATTGCATCATTTCAGACAGCCAGTAGTGCTGCTTGCTGTCCTCTGCATGAGGACATCCAGTGTCAGTAAAATCCCCATACAAAAGTATTACAGTAATGCTTTTGTATGGGGCAGACTTAATGCACTTGCGGCGCTCATTAGATGATGTCGGAAGAGGCGGAGCGTCAACCATGCGCCAAAGGAGATTGGCGCTGTTAGTGTAACAAGGTTTTTTTTAACCCTTGCACTGCCAGGGAGGCATGAAGGATAGGGGAGCCAGAGTGAACTATATTGAAAGGAATACAGCTTTATAACTAAATTCGGACAAGCCAAACTGCCATATGGTCAAAATTCGTCTGTCCCGAAAAAAAAATCTTTATGTTCAGATAAAGTGGTTCTTCCAAAACTATTTTTTTCTCTGTGCACAAGTCTATAAAACAGATTGAATTCTGAAGGTAAACAGAGATAGCAATTCAATCACATTTCCTCATGTGATCAAAGTTCTATAAGACAGTTTCTTGCTACTCATAGCTCAAAAGCCAGGCTATTTTAAATGTCAATCCATAGAAAGAATTGTTTTAAGAGGGGATGATGGTTCCAAATGGTTTTCAAGATATTAATTATTTTGGAGATTGATATTAGCAATGGAGCTAAATGGATTTGAATTGGAGGTTATTTTATTTTTTTACTATTAAACTAAATTTGTCCCCTCAAGATTTTCTCCTGATTGCAGTTTACACTAGTATATAAATTTGTATATATTAGTATGTAAATGGCGATGGTTATTTGATAAATGTCACAGTATGTTTTTCTTAGCAGGGGTAATCTGGTCATGTGGTTAGTAATATCTTAATTGCACTTTTGGAAGGAGTTACATGTATTTTTATACCTTATAATACGTCAAATTGAGAGATATTTTCAAGAAGTATATATAGTGCAGCTTGACATTTTTTCTTTTCCACTTATTTTCTATGAAATTATATATTTTTTCATGTTAAAAGAGGTACTGCAGTTTTCTTATTTGTTCCCTTATGAAAGGGTTAACTTTTTAGATTTACCTAGGTTTCGCTCTTTTGTTCATACACATACATAAGTGGTTAAATTGTAGCAGTCCTAAATTCAGACAAGAGACTATTATTTACAAAGAGATGTGTTGATATTCATTATTGAGTATATCTTTGTGGTCTTAGTAGCTGACAAAATGAAGACTAGTTGATGTCTGGTATATTTTTATACAAGACTTGTGAACATGTCCTAACTTGTGAGCATTACTTACCCAACCATCATTGGGTAAGTAAGGCTACTGAGCAAAGAGGATTTAAAGATGGCTGTGCAATGGAGCAGAGGAGCTAAGAGATGCACTGAAATATGATATTGACTTATTTGTGTGTATTATAAAATAATAGACACAAAGGCTGTTCTGCATGTTAGCTTTTACCTTAAATAGTATTTTTTTTTTTTTTTAAATGAGACAATTTTCCTGTCTTTGATCCCACACAGATACGTGTTGTTATATGAACAGTGTACTTACTAAATTTTCAGTCTACATAGGAGAACATTATCAAGATGTATATGACTGGCATGTTTCCCTCATTTGCAGACACCTTTCTAAAATTAGGAGTTGAAACCTAACACATCTCTAAGTAAAAACAATCTCCTAAGGCAGACCTAAAAATATATTTACTTACCACATGTTCAGTATTCCTCCCAATGCAGTTATGACTATGTTTGTTTTTATAATATGTTGCAGGTATTTTGTTACAGACAGATTCCAAGAGGAAAGTTTTGTTGCTTGTTTGAATAAGGCATGTGTGAAAAGTCATAGTAACTTCTTGTTGCAAAAATTAACTACAAACTATTCTTTTTAATTGAAAATGTATTGGAGTATTACAATGCGATGTGCAATTCATTCATTGTGTGAGAACAATCGGTATAGGCTCTAACTGGAGACAATATTAATGTTATATCTAAAAAAATTAGAACTTGTTTGTGTTTGTATGAGTTAGGTAACATATTGCCACATATCTGTGGCAGGACTAAAACGCCCACAATTCTTCGCAAATTGACAGCACACTTTTATTTAACCCCTTCAGAAATAAAAGGGATCCATGACAGAATATTTCCGGTGTGTGTCCTTAAAGGGATCCTACAGTGCCAGGAAAACAAAGTCATTTTCCTGGCACTAATGGGTTAATAGGTTCCTCCCTCCAGCGGGGCTGAAGGGGATAAAACCCTTTCAGCCACTTACCTGTATCCAGCGCCCATGTCCAGCGCTGGGTCAGGCTCCGCCCACGCTCCTCCCCCACCAATGTCAGCCGGCGGGGAGACCTAATGCGCATGCGTGGCAATGGCAGCGCGCGCATTAGACCTCCCCATCGGAAAGCATTATACAATTTCCTATGGGGAAAATCTGACGCTGGATGCTGGAGGTCAGATAACGGACCAAAAGTCAGTTTAGATTCCGGAAGCACCCCCAGTGGCTGTCTGGTAGACAGCCGCTGGAGGCAGACTTAGAGCTGCAATGTAAACATTGCAGTTCTCTGGAACTGCAATGTTTTACATTGTAGCACTAGGTGCAAAAGGGTCACAGCAACCAGACCACTTCAATTAGCTGAAGTGGTCTGGGTGCCTAGAGTGTCCCATTAAGGGGATAAGTACAATTCATCACTGCCCATCTGTTTAGTGAACAAGTTTTTTCATAGCATAATCTAAGAGGGGAAAAACTAGCAGGTTTATTAAACTCCTTCTCTTACAAATATCTTTATATAAATCAATTTAAACTAAAATCACCTACATACATTTGGCTGCAAGTGACACTTCCCCATTGTGGAGACAGCCATATTTTCATCATTCGTGTTTTCACTGAGTTACTGTAATAAAGTTGTGATGGTATCAGGAGGTCCTAAGTGCCAGCATATCTTCAGGGTTTAATTGGTTAATGAAGGTTTTAACCTCAAAGTCTTTAGTGACAGTCAGCTTTGTCCTCAACTTATATTTAATTCCAAGGCATCAAGGAAGCTTTGCACAGGGACACTGTTAATACGTTGTCAGCGGACAATCTCAGCTTATCAATATATCCCCATTCTCAAGATACTGCTGTAATCTGCATTTTACTAGAATTGACCATAGAAATGATATTGACACATCTCTAAGTGTCATACTTACCATAATGTGTTGATAGATAGGCAAATAATTACACAAGACTTTGTATGTTTTGAAATGTTTTATTAAAAACACATTTTCACTTATACCAATTTTATACAATGTAAAAATCTTTCTTAGAATAACATAATTTTTTTCATCATGAAATCATTGTGTATCACTGCTAACAGCCAAATAGTTTATTTTCATGATTAACGTAGTGTCATTCTTGCCTTACTGTTTGCGAATAGACAATTTCAACCTACTTCCAGAGCATGATAGCAGATTCCATTGCATGAATCTGGATTTAACAGGCTATTACTTCCATAGTCCATACCTACCTGACAAACATACATGTCTTTCAAAACAACCAAAACACTACAATGTATTACCAGTACATTAATGGATTTTTTTTATTTTTTATTTTTAATTAATCACAAGAATAGGAAAGACCAACTATGAAATGCTGATGTTTTTTACAACTTGGCTATTTTAGCCTAACGTTAGCAGATTATTATACAGAAAAACTGGGCACAAAGACAGTGTAAAAGTGCGATTGTATTTAAAAGTCACCTTGTCTCTTGTGTGCTCAGGCCTTACCGTACAGTAATTGTGAGGAATTTGGCCATTCTGGGTTGGTGCCACCAAAAAAGTGTTTTCCTGTGAGGCATGTGCCTCGTTCTTTTGATTCTAAATTCACCACAACTCGGTGATTAGAGAATTAACTCACTAGCATGACAAAAGTGCTATGGGATAAATTGCTTACTGTACTTATGATCCTAGGCACATATATGTATTTAACAACATATAATGCTGGCCTTAATAACACTCTTGTCTATCATTTTCATATTATTTAACACATAATACTTTCATGAAACACCAAAAGATCTAAACTTTATGGAATTTTCTTTTTTTTTTATAGGAAGCCATTATTAAATGAAAATTTGCCAATCTTTGTAGGGATTAAAATATTAAGGCTGCAAAACCTTAAACAAAAGCAAATTAATAAAAAGAAAATCCAAACAAACAAGTTGACAATACAAGCACCATTGGATTGCACGATACATGTGTCAGATAAAGATAATAAGACTTAAACTTATTGAGTTTATTTTGTTACATTATATATATAATAAACATTGCCTAAGGTCTCATGTTACAGCACACCATATAAGAGCCAATTGAGAGGGTGCTTTAAAAAAAAAAAAAAGTATTTACTAAAGTGAAAATGTAAAAGTTAATTTCAAATTTAAGTTTAAATTAACTTTGAATGAAAAAGAAAAAAAATAACCAATCTGGAAAGGTTCTCTATATTTTATATACTATCTTACTTTAGTAGATGATTTTATTTACTGTTGTGTTATTGGACATTTATAATACCCAATTATTTAGTAGCATTCAATAACCTACAAAAACACATCAAAGCTTAAATTAGGGAACACGATGTGACTGATTTTCATGAGGAAATAATCTTCCTCTGTACTTGCACTTAAAATGTATATTTGATACCTAACAACAGCTCCCTGCTCACGTAAATTCAAAGGACATGAGGTAAAAGTAAAGATATACCTGGTAGAACTAAGGAGACGCCCTCAGCCTCAGCAACACAGCTTTAAGTGGTTACTACAACCACCATGACCACTTCTGCTTTTTGAAGTTGAAACAGTACGTATCCAGAGATATTCATAATAGTGTGATGGGAGCAAGTTGCTCCTAGAACTCTGTTTTTGGCTACCTAATGTAAATTTTTTTGCATAAATTACATCTGTCGTCAGCATTCACGCTGGCAACAGACATAACTGCTTTTCCCTCCCACCCTAAATGAGGTCCTCCCTCCTCCCAATTATTGGTTTTTAATTACCATATCATCTTTTCTTCCCTCTGCCCCACTTCCTCTCCCCTAAATTATCTTTGAACAGTTATACCTCAAATTCCAGGTTTTGTTTTGTTTCTGAACTTGTACAGTTGCCCCCCATCCTTAAAGGGATAAAGCAAATAAACATTCAATATGGAGGAATGGTTAACCCCTTAAGGACCAAACTTCTGGAATAAAAGGGAATCATGACATGTCACACATGACGTGTCCTTGAGGGGTTAAAGGCACTAAACACAAATGCATTCCAGCTGATACAAAAGGATCAAATTCCTTTTAATCTATGCTCAAACAAATCAATCCATCCAGGATTTATCGATGGAGTCTTGCTCAATAAATCAAACTCCACAGGTAAACCCAGATGGATCCAGTCATTCTGGTGTAGATTAAAATACATTTTTATTTGTTCATACAAACTGGAATGCGTTTTTGCACAATTCTAAAAGGCATTGACGGGTGAAGTACTACCAAGTAGGAAAAAAAATAACACTTACTTCCTTCAGTCTGTGTTCTTTCTGTCAACTATCACATACTAAATCAGGGGTGACATTTTATATGCAGACCCTCTTTACGCTCATTGGAAGTTCTTATCCTTCTACTAGAGTACTCAAAATGAATAAAATAAAAAGGAAACTGGGAAAGGATTTCTGATTAAACCATACTAAAAGGATTTTTAGACTTTTTTTTTCCTACACAAAATTTAGCGCAATATTAATAATTCCATTTTCATTTAGCAGACTGTTTTGCTTATGTTCTGGGATGTAAAGAATTACACCAGGATGAAGCTTCTGTCCTGTAAGCACCGTGCTGTGCAGGAAATTTCCCAATTAATTTACTCCTGGCCAAGGCTGACTGGAGCTTCCCAGCCTAAAGTGTTGCGTATTAATCAGTGATGTATTCTTCCCTACCTTTTATAAACATTCTTTAATAATACTATCAATATATTCTTTAACAATACTATTGATCTGCGTAATAAAACCTACTTTATCTATATTTATGTGATTCTTTGCATCTCAGAACATAGCAAAACACAGACGTACATACTTACCTATTAAATTTACCGTTAAAGGAACACATCAAGCTGCGTAACCCCTATAGCCTGCTGTAGTGGTTATTGTGCCAGGAGTGCCCTGGTGCAATACCAGTGAATAGTAGGCAAACAGTTCAAGAATGGTTTGACAACTTGCCTGACTGTGAAGTCCATATTTTTTTTTTACTTATTAACCAAACATTATTTAAAAGCCATACAAACATGAACATTATCAGGCTGTTGCATTTAACCTATTTTTACAGGAAGCGGGCACAGGGTACACAAAAAGATGTACATGGTATAAATTTCTAGCAAACTGAGTTATAATGTAGAACAAGAAAAGGAGATAGTTGAAGCTTTGCGTAAACCCCATGTGTCTAATGTACTATGTCTATAGATTATAAACTACTGTTTTTTGTTTTTTTAAGAAAAAAACTTACAATTGGAGCAATAGCCATAGATACCAAAGGAATGTTCCTGATGATTGCTTCACAAGCAATTTAGGATCATATTTATTATGGAAAATACAAGTGTTATTCTAGCGCAATTTCTCATAAAGGAGCACTATTCATTGAAACCAAAAGGACATCTCTCAACATTCTACACCATTCCACAAAATGACTACTATTGGCCACGTGATATAAACAAAATGCAGCATTAAAACAGCTTTAACTAAGTTATGTAGCTATATCAAGTGTAGCTGTATCACTTTCCCCAAAAGTAACATCTTGTGAGCCACAAAAAATGGCCACAAAACTCATGTGCTACATCATAAAACCAAAGTAAATTCCAAGAAAGTGTCTTAAACCCTGAGAGATATCTATAATTTGCAAATTACAATCCCTTAGCACCGGTTACATAAAAGTAGATGGCTCCGATATTCAGATATTATTAATCATATTGCAAAAAAATACAAAGTATCAAAATTACTTGCTGTACTGCCCAGCAGCTAAAAATATAAATACAAAATACTATGGCTGTATTGGACATATTGATGAAGTGTATGTCATATTTCTGCTTCCCAAGTGGACAATGGTTTAATGATTCAGTGGTTGAAAGTATTTAGACTCCATTTTTTTAACGTTTTATGTTGCAGCCCCATGCTTCATTTGTTTAAATTATTTTTTCACATTAATCTAAACTCGATACCCAAATAATGACAAAGTAAAAAACAGATTTATGAAAACTTTACAAATGTTATAAACAGAAAGGACTGAAATATCAGAGTGATATTCATATTCAGATCCTTTCCTATGACAATTGAAATTAAGCTTAGATGACCTCCATTTCTCTAGATCATCTTTAAGATGTTTCTACACTGAGCTTGGAGCCTACCTGTGGCAAATTCAGTTGAGTGGACATGATTTGGAAAGGTGCACACACACGTCTATATAAGGTCTTACAGCAGTAAATGCATATCAGAGCATAATCCAAGTTAAGAGGTCAAAGGAACTGCCTCCAGAGCTCAGAGACAAGATTGTGTTGAGGTACAAATCTGGGCATGACTACAAACATTTTTTAGCAGCATGGAAGATTCCCATAATTCAGAAATGTTTGGAATAGCCAGGACTCTTCCTAGAGATGGCGACCCAGCCAAACTGAGCTATTGCAAGAGAATGGCCTTGGTAGGAGAGGTGACCAATCTTGTCTCTGAGCTCTGGGTTAGTTCCAGAGATCATATGTGGAGCTGGGAGAAACCATCACTGTAAGGACAACCATCACTGCAACACTAAGCCGATCTGGCTTTATGACAGACTAGCCATTTCCTCACTGCAAGACACATGAAATTTTGCTTGATATTTGCAAGAAATCCCCCTAATGGACTCTGACTGTGAGAAAAAAAAAAGATTCTTTGGTTTGGTGAAATAAAGATTGAAATTGTTTCCTCAATTTAAAATGTCATATCTGATGGAAACAAGATATTGCTCTTCACCACTCTTAAGGAAAGCTGAATGCATCAAAATACAGAGATATCCCTAATGAAAACCTGATCTAGAGTGCTCAGGTCTTAAGACTGGGCTAAAAGTTAACTCTGAATGTGTGGCCCAGGAAGAGCTGGACTTAAACTCAAATGATCGTCTCTGGAGAGACATGAGAATGGCTGTGTACACAAGGCCCCAATTCAGCCTGACAGAACTTGAGAGGATCTGCATAGATGAATGGGAGAAACTACCCAAATGCTAGTGTACAAAGCTTGTTGCCTCTTACTTAAAAGATTTAAGCGAAGTACTGAGTTAAGGGTCTAAATACGTCTAAATATGATATTATCATTTTTACAAATTAAGATATTTGCAAAAGTATCAAAAAATCTTTTTTTTCCTTTTGTCATTATTGGGTATTAAGTGTAGACTGGTGTAAAAAAAAAAAACCCCAAAAAAAACAAATGCAGCAAAGACTGCAAGGTTAAATAAATTAAAAAATAAAGGAGTCTGAATACTTTTTGATGCACTTTATATGATGTCAAGTGGTTGTTGAAGGCACAATGTATTTATTTCTTGTAACTTGTTTTGAACCGATAGACATTTGCCACGGGTTACAAAACCCTAATTAAATCATTGCTGCTTAAAAGTAATTGACACTAAAGTGCACAGACACTTACATACTCACTTGGAAACTCTCGAGGATTTACCATAAGGCTCAGGAGTTGTAAGTGGGCTAGTTGTCAGGGCTGCCACATCATGCTCTACATTGTTTAGTTGATACCCTGTTGTCAAATGGTAGCCTTTAAGTAGCCTTCATTGTTTCCTTCCTCAAGTTCTTATTTTTTGCATTAGAAAAAAAATGACATGAAAATTATTTGATACCTAGGATAAATGGTAAAGATATAAGCATAAGAAAACAGCAAATACAAGCAGAGATTTTGCTGTTCAGGGATACCTAAAAACTACATTACAGATAGTTAAAAAAAAACGTATTATATGTATTTCTTTGCAAAAACAATTCACAAGCAATGTCTGTATGTGTACATGATTGTGTGAGTGTCAGTGTGAGCCAATCAGTTTTTACTAGTTAGTGTTCAGAAATAATTTTATCTCAATGGGCCCAAGCAAAGGTGATTTATAATTACTCTGTTTGTCCATTCATAGATTGCGATTGGACATCTAGGACAAAATTATTGTTGTAAATCTCCAATGTAGTACTTGTACAGTATAGCACCATCCCTAGAAAGATTAGAGGATGAGTAATTATCCAGCATTAAATTATAGTAGTATAGAAGGAATGCCAGTGCCATATTTGTCCAAGTTCTGTGAGGTAAACTTGTGAACTTTTGTAAAGAATGTGTATGGCTACTGGAACTCTTTGGGCCAAGAAAAGGCCACCAGCTATTGAAACCAAGCAGTAACTTAAGCTACACTGCTCCGGCAAACCTAGAGAGCTCCAACGTACATTAGCAGTATTCAGCACCAACAGTGTTCTCAGGTGCTATTTTTTACCTCACAGTAGCACCGTTCAATTAATTAACAGTTAATTACATTGCTTCATCCATATAAAGAAAAAAATGTGTTTTTATTTTTCCAGGGACAAATTAGCAGTTGGACAGATCATTGGGAAATGTTTCTACAGGCTAAAAACCATAAGGCATGAGTTGACATGCAGAAAATCCGTCATGGGGTTTGGGATGAATGAATCAGTGTAACAGTGATTCCATTATATCTGACTTTGTCAACATATTTTTCTGTTCTAATCAGTAATATGTATGGACCTTAAGTATCATATATGCTCCAAAGCTGTTGGTAATCTGTCCTGACCATTCTTTGATTTGTAAATTAATTCCATGTACAAGTGATATCTTGAAAATCCTCCTGGGTGTAAATAGGATAAAGTAAAGTATAAGGTATCTTATTTTGGAGACAAGCTGACAAGTGATATTTACTCTATAAACATTAGAGTATTATTAGACATGTTACCTGGTGTGCAGGTTTTTGGTAAAGATTTTTGGAATTAATAAAAACAAAATATGTAACATTTAGCAGTGAACATAATTTCACTTATTAATAAGTCTATTTTATTTATTGACATGTATTGCACAGTATGCATTATACAGCATCTGAGTCCTGATTTGTTCAAATTATTACGGTTCTTGCTGTAATAATATAAGGCACTAATCATTAAAATAAAGTTGTTTAACCTTTGTGCAGCTATTCAAAGGAATATATTACATTCATGTATGGTACCCGTACGAATACAAGAACTTGACTTGACCCAAATCATACACGTCATAGATCGTGAAGTGTGTCTTATACCATAAACTTTATACAGTTGCAGTATACAGAACATTCAAAATAAAAAGTTCCTAATGCAACTTATTGAGACATACTGAGAACATTCTGAAATGTTATCTTACATTTATACCAATACATTCCATGCCATGGGAGAAACTTTTCTATAATCAGTAAGTGAGATAAAATCCTTTGAAAAGCACCCAACAGATAAAGCTCTGCTCCTTTTCCCCCAGGCCTTCAAAGATTAACACATGAATCAATACAAGCACAAATGCATAGCAGAAGCACCTATATCCATTAGCATTTCTTACAGATCCTGAGAACTTGCAATAAGGCACAACCCAAATATGCAGAAACCAATAGGATTTAAATAAAGCCATCACTGGAACTCTATTGTCATCTAAATACGCTATGTTCTATGAACCCAAACTCACACAACTTTACAAGCTGTGCTGGTGCTTTTTCAGGGGCTCTATCCAGTTGTATCTCCTGTCCACAGTGTTTCGAAGTGCGGGTACCAAGCATTTTTGAAGACATCTTTCTAACTCTCCAAACTTTATGCAAGTCCACGTCCTCTACAACCATTCAGGAATACTTGTCCAGTATTAAGAGGTCAACAACAGGGAAGATATGTTAGCTGCATGATGAAAGAAAATAAGTCATTACTGGAGAGAACAGAATAAAATATCTGGACATATTGTGTTAAATGGACATGGTACTGTCTAGTAACCAAACCAAACCTGGAAATTAAAGGGATACTCTAAGCAACAAAACAACTTTATTTTAATGAAGTGGTTTAAACAGTCATTACTGGAAAGAACAGAGTAAAATATCTAGCTTTTGTTATTCAACAAGTGGGACATATATTTGTGTTGAATGGACATGGTGCTGTCTAGTCATAACAAATACTGAAGGAGGAGCACAACCATACTGATAAAAAGACTTTATTAATTGGATCCAATAGAATAGGTATCACAAGATACAAACAAAAAGAGGAAAAAATCTTAGTAATAATGTCACATTACAAAAAATGTACAAAATGTATCACAATTCTCTATACATAGTAAATAACTACAGAAAGAAAAAAATGCTAATCTAGATAGAAAATTGATTAGATACACAGAAAGAGCAACACAACAAATCATTCATACCAAAAAAAAGAAATGTAACAGAAGTAGTGAGAAGAGGGAGAAAATAAAAAAGAAGCCCCCAATGTTCCAGCGAGATTGCCTTCATCAAGGGAGGTTCCCTTGTATAGAGAATTGTGATACATTTTGCAATTTTTTTGTAGTGTGTCATTATTATTAAGACTTTTCCTCTTTTTGTTTGTATCTTGTGATACCTATTACATTGGACCTAATTAATAAAGTATTTTTTATCAGTATGATTGTACTCCTCATTCAGTATTTTCTATAGACTTTTTAGTTCCTTGGGGAAATAGGACCTTTTGAGTGAGCACTCTAATTTGGCTGGTTTGCATTTGCTAATAAATTTTCATGTCATCTGACTAGTGTGCCTGCCTGTTTCTAATTAATTGCTGTCTAGTTATAATACAGATTAAGGAACAGCGCACACATAAAAATACAGTTTTCATTTTATAAGGCTACTAAAATCCCCTATCTAAGCAATCAAATATGAGGATTCAGTTTCACCAAATGGCCATATTGTGTTAAGCCCGCCACTACTTCACAGAGAAACCTGTGAGTAGACTGTTTCAGGACCTCAGATTGCACGTGCACAATCTGAGCCAGCGACAATAAGGGGATAGGGGAAGGGGAGGGATATTTAAAATAAAAAAACACAAAAAACACATAAACATATTTTAATTACAGGGAAAGCAGAAGGGAATGCCCACAGGGTGAGAGGGAGGGGAAAGCTATCTTCCCCAGTGGGGCAATGGCACCAGGCAGCTCTGTGAAAGGGGCAGCATTTTGCCGCCCCTGTACCTTTAAGAAATCTGGAGCAGGGCCCCAGGCCGCCTATTTGCACATATATATGGCGAAAACTGCTGTATATATATATATATATATATATATATATATATGTGCAGGTCCAGGCCCTGCTGGTGTGGACAGTAAAGAGGGAGCCCTGATAGTAATCTTACATCCCCAGCAGAAACAGGTATTCTTCTCTCGCAAACTGTGATAGCATTACCAAGGGTTGCTCTGGCAACACTCCGGCATGCATTGTGTGCCGCACGGAGCATTGACATGGCAACCTATGGTAATGCTCTTGCAGCTTGTGAGAGAAGAGTACTTGTTGCTGCTGGGGATGTAAGATCACACTCAGGGCTCCCTCTTCACTGTCCTCCAGCTCCACTGGACCACCATGGAATCATGTATCTCACCTCCCTGCCCACAGGTAAGAGGCAGTGAGGGAGGAATAAGTGCAGGGAGGGGGGAATAAGTTAAAATAAAAAAAATTTAATACTGCTCACCCCCACAAATGTATTTATCACCACAAACAAACACTGCATGCACTTCACTAACATAGTCACCACTGCATCCACTATACACACACACTGCATTCACTATACACACACCATATCCACTACAAACACACACTGCATCCACTACACACACACTAGATCCACTATCCACACTCTGCATCCAGTATGCACACAAACCTGGCAATCTGATTTTACCATCTCAAAATGAGGACTAAAGAATCCTAGGTGGGGAATATACCACCAGCGCCCTACTCATCGACCAGTAAGCCTGCTCAAAGAAATGTGAGTACATCTCTTCTATTGTGAATTATTTTAAAGTTTTATTTCTACAGTGAGCACTATATTTGTCATTTCTTTACTTTCCCGGTCCGGAACCGCTATTATTGAAAAAATTTGAAGAAACCACCTACCACATATATCCCAGAAGTGGAGATCATTCCACTTCACGCTATACACACCAGAGCTGGATATAGCTCTGGTAAATGTGAGTAGAATATAATCTATAAAATATTGAATATATTTCTCACTATATACTGTACCAATTCTTATGTCTTACATGTACTTCTGGAATCACAAGAACTCAACCTCCAAGAACTTTTGATTTTATCCAGTTTGGCTGTTCCCTTCAAGACTCTTATACTTTCTTTTATACCATTATATTTGAATTTTATTTGTTTTATTGGATATTTTATTCCTGTTATCTGAATTATTCTGGTATACTCTAATTTCTATTAGGCGCAACTTTTTTTTTACTGCAAACAGTGGGGTATCACGAGGGAACCCCTTTCCACCTTGAGGTGTGCTGCCTTATAATATATACTTATTTTCTTTGTGATCTTATTCAGCGCTGATCCATCTGTGAAAATTCACTATACACACACCGCATCCATTAGAAACGCACACTGCATCCACTACACACACACTGCATCCACTACACACACACTGCATCCACACTACATCCACTATCCACACGCTGCATCCACTATACACACAAACACTGTGCATCCATTATACACACACATGCACACACTGCATCCATACACACACTGCATAACATATTGACGTGGGCGTGTTTTGGTTGGTATGGTTTTGTTTGGGGGGGGCAGCATTTCATGCTTGGACCCAGGCAGCACAATGCAAGGAAGAAGATTATTATATCTGTCGCCAGCATGCAGGCGCATTGATGACAGACATAAAATATGCACAGAACTGACATTACAGAGTTCTGGGCTATCAATGTTATGTGTGCAGTGGTGCAACTAGCCGCCAGCACACTAGTGCTAATTACTCTGGTTGTGCAGTGTTATGCCCCATCAGCCAAATTCCTCTGCCAATTAGGAGTTAAATCACTTTTGCTTAGGTTTATGCAGCCCTAGTCAAACCTGATGTGGATGTGAATCAAACAGCCTCCATGAAAAAAAAAAAAGGCAACATTTTCAATCAGTAAGGCACACTGTGTTTTCTTTAGACGTTCTTTTCTCCAGCTCTGTTAATTGAACATTAATCAAACACATGAAGCTATTGCAGGATCTAACAGGTTATTAACAGAGCAGGAGATTAATTCAAAATTAAACTGTGCAATTAGGCAAGCAAAAAAAATGTAGACTTTTTTCCCCCAGAAATTGTATATGGAGGCTGTATGAGTCACAGCAAGAGTAGGGGTGGCTAAGGCTACATGATTGGTTGAGAATGTAGAGTCCCATTGCTGATATGAATCCGTATGGCTAGATGGAAGCATGTAACTTCTGCCTTAGCTATACCTCCAATAATGTCTGGACTGTAGGTGGCCAGGGACCATCATTCAGTTTAAAGCAGCGCAAACATTATTAACACAAAATTAAGGGAATACATCAAAGGTCAAGAGATAACCAATTCAATGTGATGAAATAATTACAGTGCCTACAGAGTCTTTTTAAATATAATTTTCTCCCTTTTAGCACAACCCAAAAGCTAACTAAAGGTTATCTAAAGATTATGCTAAAGGTTGTTACAAATTCTTTTTATATTATGATTTTTGCTTATAAGTTTTAGCAACCAAGGCTGGATAAACTATGTGAATTAGTGCAGTGTACAGTCATTATTTCAGCGTGACAGACCCAATTTCAGTGTCTTGTCTTGCCCTCCAGACTTTGTTCTGTAGTGTCATGGTTTTTGGGTCACCAAGAAACTGTTCCCAAAAAGCATAGCGAGATTGCATCATTAAACATGTTCGAGCTATACTCAAGGCACTAGAACCACGCAGAGCTCACTGTAACAGCACCCTCTGCTTGGTCTGCCATTACTGGACTTGCCTGTTTGATTGGCAGTCAGCCTTGTGTGCATTCAACCACAACTGACCCAATTATATTGCCGGGTCTCGCCCCTTTTTCGCTTACACACTTGTGTCCTTCTTCACAACATGCTGAGGTTGAGGGTATGCTATAAGCACAGTGCATGTGTGTGTATAGCACTGCTAGAGAAACTTCAGGGCATGTTCTAAACATCATGCGGTGGCAACACAGCAGGGGGGTGGGAGGGGAAGCAGACATGCAGCTGAAGTAAGTTTTTTTTTAGTTACGTCTACTTTCTTGCTTATTTGCACCTAGTGTGCAACGCTAAAAATGTTGTGTGTCAGATTCAAGGATTAGTTCCAATTGTACTATTTTGGAGTGATTTGGTGCCCGCTAAGAAAAACCCAGAATATGTTATAATTCCACACAAAGTAGGAAATAAAAAAATACCAGATTTCTTCCAAATTACCATTTTAATTATTAACCCTGTTTTAATTATTAATATTTTAAGCTGCATTCAATTTTAAAGTTTTGCATAAGGATACTAATTATATTTTAAAGATGATCACAACACTGGGGATTTGGCAAGTTACCATTTTTATTTATTACTTTTTATTAAAGGGAAATGTGAAAATTATCCATGAAGGACATAGGTGAAAGGAGTTAATTAAAATCTTTTAAAGGCACGAATGATAGGTGAACTGAGTATCCCCTGGCACTCTACAGAACATACTTGGCACTGTTAGTGCCAGAGAGATTGGGTTTCTCTCTAACACTGTACTATTTATAGAAGTAGATTTGGCACTATTAAGTCCAGATGGACTAGGACTTTGACAATCTACTATTAGGAGCACCTACATGCCTAAACCCTAATATGGTGGGGAGAGATAAGTAACCGTAGTCGGTGTCCTCTAAAGTCTAATCAGATTCCTATGCTTGATAGTAGAGATGCAGGAACAGTTATAGAAGTTGTAAAACTCAGCGCTGTCCCAGCATCTCCAGTATGTGAATGTGAGACTGGAAAGTAAGTGGATGGGATCACTTCCAATCAACCCACTAACAGCTTCTCAGACAAGAATTACCTTGCGGGGGATGCAGGGACAGCATTGAGTGATGCACACTATATAACAGCTCACAGGGCCAGCTGGCACAGGTGGCTACATTAGGGCACATCGCCCGGGGGTTCAATGACTGGGTGACCTGACAGTTACTCCATGTCATGTGGGAGATTCGCGCAAGTGACCCACAAAGGGACTGTGGGAGGAGGAGGGAGGGAAATGGCAACGGAAGTGACTGTGGTGGCAGAGGGAGGGCAAAGGGACTGTGAGGGAGAAAGTGACACAAAAAAGAGACTGGCGGCAATAAGTAAAATGCAAACGATCTGGGGGAGAACGTGTCACATAAAGAGGCTGAGGGTGGGAGTGACACACAAAAGGACTAGGGGGGAGAAAGAGACACAAAATGGCTGGAGGGGAAGTAAGACACACACAAGGGGCCTGGGGGAAGCAAGATACACACAAAGAGGCAGGGTGAGAATAAGAGACACCAAAAGGGGTGAATAAGAGATACACAAAGGGGGTTGGTTGTAAGAGACACACAAGGGGTGTAAGAGCTAAGGGGGTGAATGACACAAAGGGTAAGACATTCAAAAGAGGGATAAGAAATACAAAAAAGGCTCAAGGGGGTAAAAAATGCAAAAGGGTTGTTAGGAGTAACACAGTGGAAGATTTGGAGGGGGCAGCAAAATGCCAAGAGTCCTTACACTAGTCCTGACAGCTCAACAGTCCATCATAACAGAGTAAGTGCTTTGCAAATAAACTTCAAATGCCTGTACTGTAAACACTCATTTTTCATAAACCCTAAATTTAACCACTCCTTGATCCTAATCAAACCAAAATCAAAATTTCATTAGTATCCAAATGTAAGCACTCAACCTAAAAAAATACATTTGCCTACCCTGTACACATATACAATATTTAACTCCACTCAAACCCTAAACCTAGTAATCCTAAACACATTTTATACTACAACGACAATCCCTCTCATAATGTTAATCCTCTTAATACTGAACATGCTATGTAATATATGTCTCATGTTAAACCCTCTCTAACCCCCAGGACTTGATTTCCCAGTAGGCAGAGAAGGCACATGCCTACTGGCACCTGTCTTGTAGGGGGTGCCTATTTACAGCACTTACAATTTGATTTCTTTTTTGGAGCTGGCAGACTGATGAGGAGAGATAAGTACCAGGAGCCTTGGCCAGTGTCCTCTAGAGTCCAGTCTGACTGCTATGCTTGATAGCATATAATCAGAAACAGTTACAGAAACTGCAAACTCAATCATTCTTAACACCCCTTATACAACAACTTTAATTCCTCTCAAGCTTTTAGCCCCCTTAAAGGACCACTATAGTGCCAGGAAAACATACTTGTTTTCCTGGCACTATAGTGCCCTGAGGGTGCCCCAACCCTTTTCACAGTGAGAGCACGCAAGCGTCCATAGGAAAGCATTGTAAATGCTTTCCTATGCGACGGGCTGAATGCGCGCGCAGCTCTTGCCGCGCGTGCGCATTCAGCCCAGGAGGAGGAGAAGAGGAGGATCGGAAGAGGAGAGCTCCCCGCCCAGCGCTGGAAAAAGGTAAGTTTTTAACCCTTTCCCCCTTCCTGAGCCGGTTGGTGCCCCAACCCTCAGGGACCCCCTCCCGCCCGGCTCAGGAAGGGGGAAAGGGTTAAAAACTTACCTTTTTCCAGCGCTGGGCGGGGAGCTCTCCTCCTCCGATCCTCCTCTTCTCCTCCTCCTGGGCTGAATGCGCACGCGCGGCAAGAGTTGCGCGCGCATTCAGCCCGTCGCATAGGAAAGCATTTACAATGCTTTCCTATGGACGCTTGCGTGCTCTCACTGTGAAAATCACAGTGAAAAGCACGCAAGCGCCTCTAGTGGCTGTCAATGAGACAGCCACTAGAGGATTAGGGGGAAGGCTTAACCCATTCATAAACATAGCAGTTTCTCTGAAACTGCTATGTTTATAAAAAAAATGGGTTAACCCTAGAAGGACCTGGCACCCAGACCACTTCATTAAGCTGAAGTGGTCTGGGTGCCTAGAGTGGTCCTTTAACACTAAACACCCTATGTAATCTAACTTTGACATTAACTCCTTACAACAATAAAACCCTCCCTTACCCTAACGACTTCTCACATTATCTTTAACTCTGCATGCATTTACACAGCTGCCTATACTCACTATACTCACAGATTCAAACACAATACATTACAAGTCAAAATATTCACAAAGCCACAATACCTTGTAGGGCCCCAAGTTCTGGCTGAGAGGGCCCTCTTTGAGTCGAAATGGAGATCAAAAGATGTCCATGCACTGCCCTGACATAGTCAACTTCATCAAGAGAGCACAGTCTGTACCAATATTAAGTACAAACACACTCAGCTTCTCTCCATACAGCTCTCACCTTCCTCTCACACACACACCACTCGCAGAAAGAGCACAGAGTACTAGGAGGGGGCCCCAATATGGTACCTTGCCTTGGGCCAGATTGGGGAACCTTAATCCAGCTCTGAATATACAAAATATATACACATACATTTGTAATTTTTTATTTTTTTTGCATGCCTGCAATGTCCAGTTAATACATTAAATACGCTTTACCTGCCTTTTTTCTGAAGGGGCCAGGGTGTACCTTAGAATGCTGTGCCTATAGGCACATGACATGCAAATCCAACTTCTAACATTATCTGTAACGCTACATACATTTACACAGAAGTATGCATTCACTATACTCACCGATTCAAAAACAATACATTATAGAAATATGCACATAGATGCAGTGCATTCAGAAAGTATCAGACCCCTTAATTTGTAATGCTACAATTGTTTAAATTATTATTTTTTCTTACATCAATCTACGATCAATATGCTATAATGACAAAGCAAAAAACTGTTTTTGAAAACTTGCAAACTTTGCAAATTTATTGAAAAGAAGAAACTTAAATATTACATTGCGAGTAATATTCAGATCCTTTGCTATGATACTTGGAATTTTGCTCAGATGTGTCCTATCTTTGAGATGTGTCTAGACTTTGATAAAAGTCTACCAGTGGCAAATTCAGTTGATTGAATATGACTTGGAAAGTCACACACGTGTCTATTTAAAGTCTACAGAAGTAAATGCACATCAAAGCAAAAACCAAGCCAAAAACTTTTGCAGAGAGAACTTAAAGGATCATGTTGAGGCACAGATCTGGGGAAAACTACAATGTTTCTTTGGGATGCATTGAAGATTTCCAAGAACACATTGGCCTCCATAATTCTTAAATGGAAGTAGTTTGGATAAACCAGGACTCTTCTTAGAATTCGTCACCTGGCTAAACCTGGCTAAATGAAACAATCGTGGGGAGAAGGGCCTTGATAAGAGTGGTGACCGAGAACCCGCAGATCACTCTAGGGAAAACTTCAGAGATTATGCGTAGATATGGGAGAAACTTGCATAAGGAGAACCATCATTGCAACACTTTATGGCAGACTAACCAGATGGAAGCATCTCCTTACTGCAAGATACATAAAAGTCCATTTGAAAAAAAAAAAAACACCAATAGAGTACTCTCAGACTGCAAGAAACAGGATTCTCTAAATGGTGAAATGAAGATTGAAATGATTGCTCTTAATTCAAAGTGTCATGTCAGGAGGTAATTAAGCACCATCATCATCTGCGCAATATCATCCCAACAGTGAAGCATGGTGGTGGTGTCATGCTTTGGGGGTGTTTTCAACAGCAGGGACTGAGAGGCTGGTCATGATTTTAAGGGAATGCAGAACACTGCAAAATACAGAGATATCCTTAATGACAGACTGTTCCAGAGCATTTAGGGCCTCAGACTGAGCTAAAGATTCACCTTCCAGTAGGACAATAACCCTAAGCACACAGCTGAGACAATGCAAGAATGGTTAAGGAAACTCTGTGAATGTCATTAAGGGACCCAACCAGGACCTGTACTTGAACATCTCAGGACAGACCTAAATATGGCTCTTCCCCAATGGTCCTCATCCAATCTGACAGAGCTTGAGAGTATCTGCAGTTGAATGGCACAAACTATTCAAATTCTGGTGTGCAACGCTTGCCACATAATACCCAAACATACTTGAGGCTGCCAAATTTACTTCAACTAAGTATTGAGTTAAGGATCTGAAAAAATTTTGACAAGTAAGGATTGGGAAAGAGTATCATGTGACAGAACATGCATTACTGCTGACAGAAGGTTAGATAGGGGATTTGTACATTTGCTGTGTTAACAAGCAGGCCTGTAAGAAAGAGCTGCCAGTGTGCAGAGTATAATTAAAGGACCACTAAAGTGGCCCAGGCAACTCCATCTCAGTGAAGTGACCTGAGTGCAGTTCTTTTAAGCCTGCAATGGAAAACATTGCCATTTTTTTATAAACTGCAATGCTTACATTGCCGTATTAAATCTACCTCTAATAGCGGCCTTTCTTAAAGGGAAACTGTAGGCATCCAGACCACTTCAGCTCATTGAAGTGGTCTGGGTGCAATGTCCCATGTCCCTCAACCCTACAGTTGTAATTATTGCAGTTTCTGAGAATAGTTAACTCCTCCTCTAGTGGCTGTCTTCCAGACAGCCACTAGAGGGACTTCTGGAATCGAAATGGACCTCTGGTCTACTATCTGATGCTGGACATCCTCATGCTCTGCATGAGGACCTCCAGCATCAGATGTGAAAAATGCTTTCCTATGGGGAAATCCTAATGCGAACGTGGCCATTGCTGCGCATATGCATTGGGTCTCCCCCGCCAGCTGACATTGGCGTGGGGAGGAGCGTGGGAAGAGCTTGACACTTGATTCAGGTAAGTCATTGAATGGCTTTTAACCCCTTCAGCATCGCGGGAGGGGGGAGCAATGGAGAGGGGCACTGACACTATAGAATACCATTAGAACTCTTTCACATGACACTGTAAAGACCCCATAAGAAAGCACTGATTTAAAGCTTCCCTATGGTATTAGATTGGAACATCATCAAGGAGGCTTCCTCCATGACTCATGGGAGAGGGAGAGGTAAACAGAGAGTGAGCCTCGGCATTGAGAAAAGGTAAGTAAAAATCTTTATTTTATTAAAATTTGTATTCCTAATTCTTTAGTGTTCTTGCATATTGGGTGCACATCCAATGATACTCTTATGTCGCACCACTCTGTGTGGTATAGCAAGGATGTTGAAGTAACATTTTGATATTTAATGTAATCATGTTTTGTAACAGTTGCTTACATGTTCCAAACATGTTTCTAGCATTGTCAGTTATTCCTTATCAACAGCAGACAAGTCATGATTGTTCTTTTCCTGTAAGTCACCTTGCAATTAAAGCCGATGTGTGAGTCACTGACCTTATTATGTCCCACTCTAATGTATGACAGCTACATATATCACCTTACAGGGAATATTTAAAGAACCATCTGTGTATTCTGTAAATTGATTAATGAACGTGATCTGTCAAGCAACTACTTACTAATATCCACAATTTATTCAGTAGATAAATGTGTTTCCTCCTGCATAATCCGTTTCAGGTATAATTCTTTCTATTTTGTTAGGCTGACTTCCCAAAGGACACTTCTTTCCAAGTTGCCTGTTGCCCCAAAACACTTTTTTTAGAGATAATATAGAAAGAATGGAGGACATGAATATATATGGGCATTAATTTTTAAAATAAATAAAAGGATAAGATTTATAGCGCATATGTCTGGAGCTGATTTCAAGCTCCAGAAGATTGTATAATTTATTTACGTATTTATAATCGCCAGCATCAAAAATGCTGCCCTATATTCCGTTTTATTTTTCCTCTTGTTTTGCATATCTTTCCATCTTTATTTGAGTTGAGGACACTTGTGAAGGTGCTGCTTCCCTGCATTCCCTTTCTATATTCATTTTTTAAGCAATTTATTTGCTCACTACACTATTCAGTAATTAAAGGGACACTATACTCATTAAAACAACTTTAGCTTAATGAAGCATTGTTTGTGTATAGAACAAATCTGTCTAAATCTGTGTTAGTGAACACTTCTCCTTTGTCGAGATAATCCATCCACCTTAGAGGTGTGGCATATCAGGATGCTGATTAGACAGCATGAGTATTGCAAAGGTGTGCCATAGGCTGGCTATAATAAAAGGCCACTCTAAAATGTGCAGTTTTATAACACAGCAAAATGCCACAGATGTCGCAAGTTTTGAGGGAGCATGCAATTGGCATGCTGACTGCAGGAATGTCCACCAGAACTGTTGCCCATGAATTACATGTTTATTTCTCTACCATAAGCCATCTCCAAAGGCATTTCAGAGAATTTGGCAGTACATCCAACAGGCCTCACAAACGGAGACCACGTGTAACTACACCAGCCCAGGACCTTTATATCCAGCATCCAGCCACCCGGACAGATGCTGCAACAATCAGTTTGCATAACCAAAGAATTTATACACAAGCTGTCAGAAACCGTCTCAGGGAAGCTCATCTGCATGCTCGTCGCCCTCATCAGGGTCTCGACCTGACTGCAGTTTGTAGTCATAACCGACTTGAGTGGGCAAATGCTCACATTCGATGGCATCTGGCACTTTGGAGAAGTGTTCTCTTTATGGATGAATCCCGGTTTTCACTGTACAGGGCAGATGGCAGACAGTGTGTATGGTGTTGTGTGAGTGAGAGGTTTGCTGATGTCAACGTTGTGGATTGAGTGGCCCATGGTGGCGGTGGGGTTATGGTATGGGCAGGCGTATATTATGGACAACGAACACAGGTGCATTTTATTGATGGCATTTTGAATGCACAGAGCTAACCTGCAAAATCCTGAAGCCCATTGTTGTGCCATTCATCCCCGACCATCACCCCATGTTGCAGCATGATAATGCACGGCCCCATGTTGCAAGGCTCTGTACACAAATCCTGGAAGCTGAAAACATTCCAGTTCTTGCATGGCCAGCATACTCAACAGACATGTCACCCATTGAGCATGATCGGGATGCTCTAGATTGGCATATACGACAGCGTGTTCCAGGTCCTGCCAACATCCAGCAACTTCGCACAGTCATTGAAGAGGAGCGGACCAACATTCCACAGGCCACAATCAACAACCTGATCAACTCTATGCGAAGGAGATGTGTTGCACTGCATGAGGCAAATGGTGGTCACACCAGATACTGACTAGTTTCGGATCATCCCTGGACCCTCCCCAATACAGTAAAACTGCACATTTTAGAGTGGCCTTTTATTGTGGCAAGCCTAAGGCACACCTGTGCAATAACCATGCTGTCTAATCAGCATCTTGATATGCCACACTTGTGAGATGGATGGATTATCTCGGCAAAGGAGAAGTGCTCACTAACACAGATTTAGACAGATTTGTGAACAATATTTCAGAGAAGTAGGCTTTTTGTGTACATAGAAAAAGTCTTAGATCTTTGAGTTCAACTCATGAAAAATGGGGGCAAAAACAAAAGTGTTGCGTTTATAATTTTCTTCAGTGTATTTATGCAGCCATAGCATGATTTGCACTACTTGAGGCTGCATCCCCAAACAGGGCAAACCTCCTCCATGACGTTGACATACTGGCTTTGTTTCTAGCAAGCCAATGTCTGAATGGAATGACACCAGTCACTCCATTCCTATACTCCCTAGCCAGCACTAACAGAGATGGCTAAGGAGTTACTATAGCCTCCACCACGGATGTGCGGTGGTTGCTATGGTTGGAGAGCAGAATGACTGCCTGTGGGAGGCCCCTTCTGCTCTCCCTGTCAATCAATTCTTCGGCATAGAGTCTATGGTGAGAGAAAAAAATTTTTGAAATAGTTTTCTTTCCCCAATCTTTTCTAGCAAAAAGAGCATGAGACGTGTTGGGGTGAGAAATCTCATTTAAATTAACACTATAGGGTCAGAAACATGACTTGCCCTTATAGTGTTAAAACCATAAAACCACCAGCTATCTACCTCACCTCTCCCCCCCTCCCTTGCACCATTAAATATAGCAAAGTCTTACCTTTACTCAAGTCTTTTTCTGCTGGCTCTGCCCCGATCTTCCTACTTGGCTGATCTCATCAGTAGTGTAGAAATCAGCCAATCAAAATGCTTCCAGATGGGAAAGCATTGGCTGAGCTTGTCAAGAAGGCAGATCAGGGGCAGAGCAAGCACAAGCCAAACACAGCCATGGCCAATCAGCACCTTCTCATAGAAATGCATTGAATCACTGCATATCTATGAGGAAAGTTGAGTGTCTCCATGCAGAGGTTGGAGACACTGAATGGCAGTGCTGCACAGTGTGCAGCACTGCCTCAGGAAGCACCTTTAGCAGCTATCTGAGGGGTGACCAGTGGAGGTATCCTCAGGTTGTAATGTAAACACTGCATTTTCTTTAAAAGCACAGTGTTTACTGCAAAAAAGCTTTTAGAGAATAATTACACTCACCAGAGCAAATGCAATAAGTTGTAGTTGTGACTATAGTGTCCCTTTAAATAATACATTTTCAAAATAAACAGACATGCAAAAACAAAAAAAATGTATGTGATATAGTTCCACATTGTATTATCCTTACAGTACACTTTTTTTTCTGTGGGGAAAAAAACTCTTCAATGCTTAATAGCATTGTTTGAAATGTATAATTTGTTATATATTTATTTTTCTGATCTAGAAATTTGTCTATTTCTCCTACCTACCATTCAAAATTTAAACCTTTGATATTTATTTACTTTCATCATATAAATTTTGTTACAATATTCCCAATTGATTTATGGCAATATACAAAGGATTTTTGTTTTGTTTATTTTGGGAAGGAGGGGTTACAATAAGATATTTGAAAAGTGAATGGCAATGGCTTGAAAATGAACAAAATTTCTTGGATGTTCTTCTTCAAGAGTACTGCTTAGAAAGAGCTTTCCTGTTTTAAATGGCATATCGTGTTTAAAGCAAAGAATGGCCAATTGCTTTATGTCCAACAGATAAGCCTGCTTTGAGGAAAAGCATTCTAAATTTAAGAAGGTGACAGAAGATTCTGCTGCTGACATGTTACAGTACATCATTCTGCACATCGTAAAAAACTGCTGTAGTGCAAAACCTGAGATCACCCCACAGCTTCAGAAATTAATGTCAACACAGTCAGCTACTGAGTATTAAAGATACACTATAGTCACCAGAACAACTACAGCTTATTGAGTTTGTTCTCGTGAGTAGGATCATTACCTTCATGCTTTTTGCTGTAAACACAGTCTTTTCAGAGAAAATGCAGTGTTTAAATTACAACCTAGTGATCACTTCACTGGTCACTCCTAGGATAGCTGTTAGAGATCTTTCCTGGGTCATTGCTACCTAAAATGCATCCAAACATTCAGTATCTCCTCCCATTGCATGCAGACACTGAACTTTCCTCATAGAGACTAATTGATTCAATTCATCTCTATGAGCAGATGCTGATTGGCCAGGGCTGTGATCAGTGGTGTATCCTGGTTTTGTGCTGCCCTAGGCAGGACAAAACTCAGGCACCCCCCCCGCGCCACCCCCACCCGCGCAACCCAACCTTCCCCCCTGCTCCGCCTTCTAAATACACACACACACATTCACTGACAGATACGCATTCACTAGCTAACAGAAACACACACTCACTAACAGACACACACTCACTAACAGACACACACACTAACAGGCAAACACACACACTAACAGACACACACACACTAACACTAACATACACACACTAACATTAACATACACACTAACACTAACAGACACACACACTAACACTAACAGACACACACACACACTAACATACACACACTAACACACAAACACTAACAGACACACACTAACAGACACACTAACATACACACACTAACACACACACACACTAACACTAACATACACACACTAACATTAACAGACACACTAACACTAACAGACACACACACTAACACTAACAGACACACACTAACATACACACAATAACACACAAACACTAACAGACACACACTAACAGACACACTAACATACACACACTAACACACACACACACTAACATACACACACTAACACTAACATACACACTAACAGACATCCACACACACACTCACTAGTGTTTTTTTATTTTTTTTATTTAAACCCCCCCCAGCCTCCTTACCTTTGGTAATGCTGGGGGGGGGGTTCTTCCTCTCCCTTGGGTCCAGTGGCTGCAGCGCTGGGAGGGCGGGCGGGCGGCCGGCGAGGGAGCTCTTCCCCTGAGCGCTCTGCTCTGCTCAGCTCCCTCGCGCGCCGCCAGCAGAGTGAGGCCGGGAGCCGGAATATGACGTCATCAACCCGGCTCCCAGCCTCACTCTGCTGGCGGCGCGCGAGGGAGCTGAGCAGAGCACTCAGGGGAAGAGCTCCCTCGCCGCCCGCCCGCCCAGCGCTGCAGCCACTGCCGCCCAGCGCCCAGAATGTCTGTTAGCCGCGAGGCTAACAAGACATTTGCCTTGGGCATTTGGGGGGGCGGCGTTTTTTGCCGCCCCCTGAAAAATGCCGCCCAAGGCAAATGCCTTGTTTGCCTCGCGGCTAATACGCCCCTGGCTGTGTTTGAATTGTGCTGGCTCTGCCCCTGATCTGCCTCCTTGTCAGTCTCAGACAATCCTATGGGAAAGCATTGTGATTGGATCAGGATACCACTTCTGATGATGTCAGCAGAGTACTTGTTTTTCTGAGACAAACAGCATGCAGAGTTACAGATTCAGGCTTGAATACAGTAAGATTTTGCTATATTTATGGAGGCATGAGGGGCCAAGGGGGGCTAGATGGTGGTTTTAACACTATAGGGTTAGGAAAACATGTTTGTGTTCCTGACCCTATAGTGATCCTTTAACTCCAGTATTTCTTTTTTTATTTTATTTTACTGATTGTTTTTTTTTCTGCTGAATACACAATATTGCTTTATTTTCTGGAGATTTGTTATCTTAAAAAACAAACACACAAACAGGACCATAACTAACACAGCTCAGAGCAGTGGTTATGGTGCAAAGAGCATGTGGATGCCATCCTCAGATTTGTTTTAACCCCTTAAGGACACATGACATGCTTGACATGTCATGATTCCTTTTTATTGCAGAAGTTTGGTCCTTAAGGGGTTAAATTGATAGCATCCTGAGAGCACCATGTATGGTCAAACCACTTTTATGCAGTCTGGAATCCTCAGGGAACTGTGGTCTTATGTGAAAATGAACTTTTACAGTAGTCTGTGTAGTGGCCCATGAGTGCAGGGGAAGAGGAGTTTTACATACATGAATTTGTCCTTTGTGGTTTCCCCTATTTATATCTTGTGGGTCCTCATCAGTTCCTAAAACTTCATGCATGTGAGATAGAGGATCAAGCAAGATCACAGAATCCTCCATAGACAATGCCTTTTTACCAACAGCCATCACTAGCGACTGCTGGGGGAAATGACAAAAATCTATTTGACATAAACTTGGTTTCCCCCAGGCACCAACAACCTGGCCATTTACACTTCCATAACTGCAATGAAAATTTCATTCAAATTTGGATGCAATCATTGGCTGAGCTTGCCGGCTCAAAAATCGGCTGTTGACACAGATTCTGAGTAAGGCACCTGAAGCCTCCTGCACCATAACAACGACAACATCCACCAATGGTTTTGGTGCTTAATACTGGGCTTAGCAAATTTGCTTTGAATCAAGGAGCCACCTAAAAAAGTTAGGAGAAAAGTTTTTTTTAAAACTAAGAAAGCTTTATTTTCAATGACAAAAATAACCATTTTAAAGGGACACTATAGTCACCAGAACAACTACAGCTTAGTGTAGTTGTTCTGATGTCTGTAGTCTGTCCCTGCAGGCTTTTCAATATAAACACTGCCTTTTCAGAGAAAAGATAGTGTTTACACTGCTGCCTACTAACACCTCTAATGGCAGTCACTCAGACGGCCACTACTTTCTCGTCTCCATCCTCTGTATGGAGGCGCTGAACATTCCCCATAGAGATACACTGATTCAATGCAGGTCTATGAGGGGATGCTGATTTGTACAACGCTTTGACGCACATGAGCAATAACCTCCAGTTGGATAAGAGGACAGATTTTCCCAGAACTATATTACGTATAATATTAAGATATAACTTTGATTAGTAATTTAAATTAAAAAACAAAACCATAAAATTTAAATACTAAATTATAATAGGAATGAACATCCTAAATAGGAACTGAATAGGGTTAAAACTGAGCCCCAGTGTGCATTTCAGCAGGTTGCTGCTCAGTTCTTACCCTATTTGGCCACAGAATTATCTTCGATTGTTGCTCTTTAGCTTGAGACTCTAAGATTGCAGCTATAGGATTTTAGTAACTTCACCATCTAGTACAATTTAACAATGTATTAAATATAATTATAAGCTTGGTAGCTCAGTTGCCCTTGAAGGCAGGTTCAGGGAATTTAGATAACGTTAAGTCATAGATACTTAGATGCCAATTGAAGGCATATAATTTAGATTGATAAAACTTGTTTAGCACCTTCTCTATTTGTACCTGATTTGTGGATTGTCTTATGACATTGTTACTCTTCTTTTAAACTTTGTATCTCAGGAAGTTTGCGTTTACTGCTGGCTACAAACGGATAAGTAAGTATGATACCTATTATAGTTGTGCAATTTACAGCAAAATATTTGTACACTCTCTAGCTGCAATTTCATGGTCTTCATTACTATTGTGTTTTTAATATTTAAAATTGATGTTTTTTATTTTAACTGAATAATAAAAGTTATGTCTTAATATTATACGTAATATCATAATTCTGGGAAAACGTATCCCTTTAAATTAACTATTTTGGCAGCAGTTTAGTTCTCAACTCACTACAATTTGTTTTTATTGAACAAACCACAGGATTTTTCTCTAAAATGAGAATCGTCTGGGATTCAAAGTGAATACTTATTGGTTTAAATTCCTTTTACTCTATGCCCAAATAAATCAATCCTTCTGGGTTTTTACCTTTGTGGTCTTATTTATTAAATGAGGCTCCACTAGTAAATCATGATCGGACCAATTTGATCGAGCGTAGAGTAAAAGTAAAAGAGTTATGAGTAAAAGAGTCTATTTATTGTCAGCTTGCCACAAATCACTATAAAGTTAATATATCCTAAAGCTTTGCACAGGTGGTATCTGGCTCCAAAAATACTCTATTGCTATCCATGTTAAAAATGTACTATTTCAATATGATTATGATTCACAAAAATGAATCAAACCAACAACTTGAACATTTATTTCTTAAATAAATGTAAGCATTTGTATATTGAGATTTGCAGGAACTATACTATGGAAAACATCCAATGGTTACGATTCTTACATAATTACATTACAGTATAAATTGAATGGAAAAACTAGCAAACGTGGAGTAAATTATCAAGGCTGAAACAGGTGCTATTATGGGGGAAAATTATATATATAACCACACACACACACACTTATCATAATGAAAAAAAAATGTAATATATAAAATGTTTGCCTCAAGTTGTTGTAACTGGACCTTGATAACTATGCCTTAGCGTTATATTTACATAACAACACGTGCAATACAAAGTAATTTCTGCTCTATTCCAGCAAAGATTTGTCAGTAGCAAGAAGGGATAACAATGAATACAGCAAACTATATCATAAGGCATGATGCATGTATTCTTTTGCCTAGCTATAACTAATGGGGAATTAGCAGGTGGATTGTATACAATGAGCTTGATGTGTGTTATATTTACCTGATTTTCATCTGTGCTCAACAACAAACCTCATGGTGGTGCCATCAAAGGACGGTGGAGCAACAATCCTAGGTCCTGGCTGGGACATGATGCTGATCATCTGCTTGCCATCTGTGCAGCCTAGGGAGCCCCTCCTGATATTACTTGGTTGCCCTGTTGTTGGACAACCTGGGGTAGAGCCAGTGGCCAGGTAATAGGGGCCCTCTGGTAAGTTCATTTCTGCATTTTGTGCCCCCTCCATCACTGGTATTTCATAGGCGTGTTCACCACCCTGGTTTGAGAGTTGGGTCTGTATGGGGTTAGCAGGTAGAACAGCAGTTGTAGCAGTGGGCAGAAATCCGGGATAAAACATATAAGCAGCTCCATATGCCCCAGGGCTGAGGGCTAAGGGTGGCATGTGAAGTGGGACTGGGGTAGCTGGTGGAGGAGGCACAGGGACTTCCACATATTGTCCTGTCTCGGGGTCAAAGAGCCTTCGTTTAACTGGCTGCACAGGAGTATCCACAAGGTAATACTGTCCTGTGGCTAAGTCCACCAGCATTTTACGTTGGGTCTGTTGGGGGTACAGTTCAGCAGGGGTGGCTGCGGACATTTGAGGTGAGTAAAAGATTGGCGCTTGGGCAGTAGCCATTGTCATTTGCATAGCTGGCATGGTGTGGTGGTAGATGGTGGCCGGAGGAACATAATCTGGGGACTGAGGTTCAGACCCTGCAGAGGAAGCTCTGTTGGGTTGGACCGCATCCTTGTTGACCTTGGTACGCCAGTCGTTGGGAGCCTTGATGGGGCTCTTGGGACTTGCCGCTTGAGTTTTGGTACTGAATGGTGGCAGACTGCAAAGCGCTGTTGAGTCACGAACATTCGTTGTTGGTTCTCGAGTATTCGCAGGAGGTTCTCGAACACTGGAGGCTACAGGTGGTTTTCCACTTGTGTCTTCTCCTGCCACCTTGACCGGGATGGTGAGGTAGTTCTCAATGTCGGCGCTGGCTTTCCTGCCAGGGGAGGGCAGCTGAGAGGTCGTTTGTGATGGCTTCTTGGTCGCCTCTTGCGGGATTTTCAGTGAAGTTGGAGGCTGTGGCCGGGTGTTTCTGATATTCAGGGCACTCTCCAGGTTCTGCTGCTTGGTCTTCACTGGGGCAGCGCTGACAGTGAACACGCTGCGGTTGTTACCTCCTCCGATGGTTCTGTTCTTCTCTGCCTGCTCTTGGCTCTTCCCTTCCGTGAACTTGGACACCTGGAAGGTCCTGGGTGGCGTCTTGTTTTCGGTCACATGTGGTTTTGCCGAGATCTTTTCAGCGCCAGGGTTGGAGTGTCTGCGCTCTAGAGGCGCTTTAAAGATATGGGGAACGGGAGCTTTTCTTGGTTCTTCGAACACAGTTTTAGTATCCACCGATTTCCCGTCCCCAGGTGCCTCTTGGTTGGAGATAAGGGACAGAACATGGCTACCGCTGAGGGGCTGGGGGTCACTTTTGCGTTTCCATTCCTTTCTATCATACACGTAGAGCTGCTCCATGGTCTTCACCGCAGCAGTCAACTTCTCCAAGGCTGCCTGAGATTGGGGAGATTTGGGCTCCGGTGGCTTAACCTCTGGTTCTTTAGGTTTCTCCTGCTTCCACTTGTTGGCTTTGGAGACAATTTTCACCACGGGCATCCGGGGACCCGTTTTATTTGGCGCTATGGTGGCCACGGGAAGCCTTCCAGATGCCCGGTGTACCAGGATTGTGTCTGCCGAAGACAGGGTCTTGTCACCTTCATTGTCAGCTCCGTCCTCCTTGCTCTTCACCGCCTGGCAGGTGATGACAATAGGCGACAAAGAGGAAGAGCTCTTGGGTGTCACAGGCAACTTGTTTTTTGAATCAGTGGCACTTTGGTCGGATACCACGCTGCCCCTGTCGCTATTGTCCCCAGTGTCATGGTGGTAGGAGCTCTTCAGCAGCTTCCTCACGTCCCTCACCTGATGGATGGGTCCTTGCACTTTCGGCTTGGTCTCCCTGACGTCCCTCACCAGAAACTGTGGCATTTTCTCCAGGACCTCAGACCTAGATGGCAGCTGGCTCCTCAGCTCTTCTGCTGCCTTGGAGAGACTGGCTGCACTGGAGGCCAGATTGGGAGTTAAGAGTTTAGCTATATTGAAAGGGCTGTCTTTGGTCACCCCTGACAGTCCCAGGCTTAGCTTGATCTCCTGGGGTTTGGGGGTGAAGGCGGGGGTAATCCTGCTGCTGGCAGTTGCTTGGAGTATATGTAGTTTTTCAGTTTTAAAGTCCACTTCGTTGCGACTGTAGCAGGTCTGGTGGGCATAGGTGGACACGGAGTATTTGGTGGCCTGCTTCTCAGTGGGCTTCTCTTTGGAGTTGTTTTGGGGACCCGGCACAAACAAGCGCGACATTTTTGTGGATTTATTGGGAGAGAGTTCGCCCAATTCTGCCCTCCAATCTCTTTCCAACGGTATCTTGATCCTTCTCGCCTTGGCCACCTTCTCCTCGATTTTCTTTTCTATTTTCTCCAGCTCCTTCTCCTTCCATGACCTGAACGCGCTGTTCTGGCTGCGCAAAAAGTTGCCTTTCATTGCGTCCGTGGAGCTCTTCTTCCCATCTGCTATAATCTCCTCGCCCTGGGACTCCAAGGGTGCCGGCTTGCTGGCCGGGTGACTCTCGACTGGCGCGAAGTCCTTCGGAGTGGCTGCTTTGGAGTCGAAGAACTCTCCCGGGTCCTCACTACTGACTAACGTGAAATCGGAGCTGGCCTCTGAGAACCTGGAGTTCTGCCTTTGGAATCCTCTGTCCTTGGAAGTTCCATCCGCCTCCTTGGACACGTTGCCCTGGTTTTTCTGGGACGTGTCCACCAGCTCTCCTCTCTCCATCTTGAACTCCTGCTCCCGCTGCATTTTCTTGGAGATTACATTTTTTAGGAGGCTGGAGGCGAACTTGGACTTGTGAGCTCCTTCCATGGCTTCGGCTGCGCTGCTCTGCTTGTTGACCTCCTGCACGGAGGGCAGGCTCTCTGTAACCCCATCCGGCACAAGGTCTGGGGGCTTGCTGGATCCCCCGGGGGCTTCGGTGGCTTTCACGTTGCTGCTGCTGAAGTTCAATGTCTCTGTTAAAGTGACGATCCTGGATCCGGACTGGATGCGCTTGGAGGCATTTTTTAGTTGGGTGCCCTTGGGGGCTAGCTCGCTGACCACCAGCTCGAAAGCCTTGGTCTGAGACTTGTTGGCTTGGACATACACCTGTTCCTTGCCGGGGGTCAGCTTGTGCAGCCCGAGCTTGGAGGAGATGGAGGAGGATGAGCTCTGCTTGTGGAGGTTCTGCTCTGCCTTTTGGGAGAGGAAGGCGCTGCCCTTCCAGTCCAGGTAGGAGGACCAGCTGTTGATGTTCTGGTCGGATAGAGAGGTTGTAGACTCGCTGGAGCTGAAGTTAATAGCCTCGAAGTAGGGGTAGGCGAGGCTGCGGAAGGCTCTGGAGGTAAGGTTGCGAACCTCCTTGTCCGCGTCGTCCAACTCGCTGACCGCGCTGGAGGCTCCGCTCGAGATGTCGGCATGGACCCCGCTGCGGGCTTGTAGCCGTGCAGGGATGGCCACCAGCCGGTGCGCATTGTCCGCCGCCCTGGGGTAGCCGTGATGCTGCTGGCGGAAGGCTGCCTTGCTCTCGGTGGCTCTGGACACACAGAAGCTGCTCATGTCTATGTCATGCTGGTCGGCGGTGGCGGCGCTGAGTGTCCCGGGCTCCTTTATAGCCTTTGATGCGGTGGTGATTGATAGGAGGATGTGTCCCCCGGGGAGCCCGGCTTTGGAGCTGTCCGGGCTGGCCGGCTGGTGTGTGGGGGTGCTGGGCGGCGAGGGCTCGCTCTCCGAGGAGGTGCTGCCCAACTCGGTGCTGGCAAGGCTGTCTGTGGGCTGGGGGTCGCTGGCGGTGCTCAAGTAGTAGCTGTCAGTCGGTGTCCCCCCCTGGCTGTCAAACGACGCGTACTCCAGGAAGGCGCAGGGGGCGCTGTCCGCCGGCTCGCTCCACGTGGAGGGGGCCAAGCCAAACTCCGGGTAGTCAGGTTCCTGGTCGGCCTCGCACAGCTGGATCTCGTGGGTGGTAATGTAGTGCGCCTCGTCGTTGGCGCAGCAGGTGTGGCGCGGTGCGGCAGCCTGGGGGTCACTGTCAACGGGGCTGCGGGAGGACAAGGGGGACGAGGTGCCCTCTGACATTTCCTCCCCTTTGCCCCCCATATTTGGGTGGTAGCCAGGGGCATCTGATAGGCTTCCTGGTGGCCCCGTGTGATCTCCAGGGGTCTCCCCTCTTGGCCAGCTGATCTCCTTTACCCTATTCTTCCAGTCACATGCACTCAGTCTGTCCCTCTCCATGTCCTCCTTCTTCCCTAAAGTAACTCCAGTCAGTGTCACTGTGACCCCGTGGGGACTGTCCTCTGTCCTCCTCCTGGGTGACATCGGTATCTCCACGTATTTGGGCTCGGGCTCCGGCAGCAGCAGGAACCCCTTCTCCAGGCTCCTGTCCGGACGGTCCCCCTGCGCCCTGGCTGCTTGCTGCATGGCTCCTGTTGCGTGTGTCGCTGGACAGGGCGTCTAGCTGTCAGTCTGACTGGCACCGGCCCCCAGCCCCTACCCCCCAGAAATGAAGGCAATGCAGATAGGAAATTCTTCTTTTCCTGAATGGGATCCACACGTCATCCTGGGAGAGTTTTAAGTGACATTGACTGAGAGTGTGGCAGAGGAAGGGAAGGGGGGCACTCTCACACGTGCTGTCATTTTGACTCCTTTGTAGTCACTAAGCATTGTCCCACACACAGCTATGTGCACCAGCAGTGCAGGATTACATTTTTTACATACATTCATATTTTGTTTTTCCATCCACCCCCTGCTCTCACAAGAACACTGGGAATTTTGGGCAGCTTTAAAGATTTGGGGGTGACTCCTGAATGACTTACCTATAAGACTAATAATAGCAACATGGGTAGCACTGCAAATTCCATATGCAGAGAAAAATAACTGTAAATAACACACATAACACAGGATATAAGGCCACAGTGGATTCTTTATTGAGGGTTAACATTAAACATAACTTAATAAACATATATTCAAATAACTTATTCTAATCATGACTTACCAAGCCAATCAGCCAAAAACGACTTACAGCCTCGAATCCAGAGTAAAAACCAACAAAGTCTATTTTCCATGGAAAAGAGAATAACATCATTACAATAATACACCACAACTTAAAAAGAATAAACAACATTTAAATAAATACCAGAAATCTAAAATAACAACAAATTATATAAATAATTGGAAATAAAAACCTACTGAGGGAGGGCAGACACTGTTATTAAGCTCTTGCATGCTGGCTCCTCTTCAAAGTCTACTTGACACAGGCCTTTTATAAGTGGTGCATAGCCATATATATATATATACACACACACACACATATATATATCAGCAACTGCTCTCGAATGTACTAAGAAGTAAGAAGTGCCTTGCTCCTTAAACCAATCAAAGATGTCACAAAGGGATTGTATAGTGTCAGGAATACAAAGTTGTATTCCTAACACTATAGTGCTCTCTAGTCCCCCCTCACTCGTGCCCGCCATGGCAGGTAAAGGTACAACATTTTTATCTACTTACCCAATTCCAGCACCAATGTCATCTGATGGTGGGAACCTAATGTTCATGCACGGCGAGCATTGCAAGCGCATTAGCACCCTCCCTATATGAAAGTAATGTATTATTGCTTTCCTATAGGGATTTTACGTCGCTGAATGTCCTTATGCAGGCGACCTAAAGTCACGTAAGATCCGGGAAGTCTTAGCACAGTAATGTAAACATTGCAGTTTCTGTGAAACTGCAATGTTTTACATTGCAGGACTAAAGGGGACAGGGACAGTGCACCCAGACCACTTCAATGGTTGCCTATAGTGTCCCTTTAAAAATGAGCTCTGCTAAGGCAAACTATTTAGAAATGGAATTGGTTTACTCATTTCTTTTATTAATGTTACCCTGCAGCACTACATATGAGCTTATAGGCCTATAACCCATAGCACCACATTCTGTAAAGCTGTTTTTTATTTACCCTTTGTCAAATGTACACATTTTTACACTGTTGTTTAGTTGACACATATATCTTATACATAGAAGATTTATTACAATGATCAAGTTTCTTAAAATAAATAAATAAACACACACTAAATTACATTGTAGAATTGCAACAAGGAAAATTCAGAGAATTGAATCACACATTCAGTAAAGTTGGTATTCAGATTCATAGTCCAGTTGGCCTAATTGAGGACTCGTTTTCAGTGTGGTCAGTATGTTTTACAGACAAGCCACTACTTACCAAATTGGCTGTGCTAGCACTAGCAAACACTAGCAAATATTGGCTGTTTTCAAACTTCAAAATCCTACCATTAGCCACTCGTAATTCCCGACTGATATTTAATGTCTCCCAGCGAAAATAATATGATATAATTAGCACTAGTTACCAACTTGTTTCTGTGCTAGTCGCTAAAAATAAAATCAAAATCGTACTGCTAAAAAAAAACCACATCATTCTTTGTCTCCAATCTATACTGATGTACACTGCTGCATACTGAAAGTTGTTTTGGCAACCATTTTTTTATTTATTTATTTGTTTTTTATTTATTTTTTTTACAAATTTCAAATGCTAAGTGGTAGTCTGTATCACACTTGCGGTAAATTTTACAAGCGTGTGAACATTAATGGTGAGCCGTCACATCTTTAGCATTTACACCATTGAATAAAATTGAAAATCACCCTTAACTAGTGCTAACTTTTTTTTTTTTTTATGCTCTGTTTTCTTTTAATGGAACACTCCAACCAAGAGTGCCCTGGTGCTATAGTTGACAATATACCTGGATCCAATTTGAGCTGAGCTGCAGCTCTTGCGTCTGGAAATCTCCTATAGGAAAATACAGTTTGCGCTACTGATCTAAGCAAGGCTTCGATCAGTAGATCTGCACTGTCCTGTATCAACTGTACTTAGCTGAACAGAACCATATAGTTTCTGCAGAAGAAGACTGAATGGGGCACAGGCACCTGGGGGACCCTGGTAAGTTGTGGTTTGACTAAACTACACTGGGACAGTATCAAGTCATTCATGGCACAATATCCACTACATCAAGCTCTTGTGGTTATGGTGCTTGGATTTTGTTTTTACATTTATCCAATTTAGACAAGGCAAAGCTAGGGCAAACTTGACAAATGAAGAGCATAAATAGAAATAAAAATAAATAGAAATATTGGAGGCACCCACAATCATTAAAAAATCTGGAGTTAAATTAAAGGCACTTATTTTTGCTTGACCAATATTCAAAGCATTATTTACTAGAAAGAAGGAAACCGAATAGGATAATCTTTACAAATAAATTAGGTTTACATAAATGTTGGTTGGACAATTAGTTTTTTTGGTTTTAAACAAAGTCATGCGCAGAAGTAGTGTGTTCGGCTTCTTGATGTAGAGCCCAAAGATGGTGAACATCGATTCAGCAAAGATTGCAGAGCCACAACAGGAAGTTCCTCTAGTAGCTTTTTGAGTGACAATCACTAGAGGTGTAGCTAGCAAGCATTATAAACAGTGCCTTCTCTCAGAAAAGGCAACATTGGCATTGTTGAGATTAAAGGGACAGTCTCTTTGCTTCAAAACCTCTACATTAAGCTGTAGTGGTTGTGGTACTTAGATTGAGATTCCCCTCATATAAAATTAGGAAAGGAAGTGGGATGTGACAATGTACTGGGAAATGTGGTTATGGGGAGGGAAATAGCTGCTATGGGGATGTAAATAGGGCAGGGCTAAAATTCCCCACTCACCCACTAGCCACTGAAAATTAAGCCCTGGTATTAAAAGTCAACACAGTGAAAGTACCATAGAGTCATACTGAATATAATGATTCTTTTTGCAGTTTGCAAGCAGCAGCTTACTGGAATAGTCGCGGCACAGCAGTTGTCTGTGGCAATCAAGGTCGGGTTTAAACAAGGGGATTGGGCAACTGCCTTCTTTCATATTGGGAAATCGATGCAGACTATTAAAGGGACACTATAGGCACCTAGACCACTTAAGCTCATTGAAGTGGTCTGGGTGCAGTATCCCAAGTCCCTTAACCCTGCAAAGGTAATTATTGCAGTTTTCAATTATTACCTGTGAGGGTTAACTCCACCTCTAGTTGCAGGCACTACAGGGACTTCCGGGTTGTTAGGCGACTTTTGGTCACCTGACGCTGGTCGTCCTCACACCTTGGTCACCTAACTGACGCTGGACGTCCTCACACATTAAGTGTCACCCAAAACCCTGTAAGAAAGCATTATACAATGCTTTCCTATGGGAGAACTCTTAATGCAAACGCAGCCACTGCCGAACAGGCAAATCATCACGGCTGATGTTGGCAAGGGAGGAGCGGAGGAAGACCCTAAACCAGTGCCGAGGAATTGGTGCCGGACTCAGGTAAGTGACAGAAGGAGCACTATAGGAAGCTATTGTGCCAGGAAAACTTTGATTTCCTGGCACTATAGTTTCCTTTTAAGATACCCCTTCTTTGTCCTCTCCAACCTGCCAGTAATTTACTGTGACAACGCCATGTGGGAATCTAGTTTTTCTAACAATACATATGGCAAACCATATCATTTACACACTTTAACAACCATCATTCAATCATTTAACAACCCCCATCCACATTTAGATACTGAACATGCTACAAACAGCTCCTAATCACACACAAAACATACACTCTAAACAGCCCATGTCCACACATACACTACAAATAACCATGTCTATACAGTACATGGCAAACAGCTTCTCTATACACACACACACACATATTACACCATAAATTGATACCTCCATCCATGTCCATCCAATGCATAAGTAACTCACGAATCAACCCTCCTCCACACACAACATCACAATTAATCTCTTCACACATAATTAGTTCCAAATTTAAACCTCAATTTAATAAGCTTTTTAAATGGTTCAATACTGGGACATAGCAAGAAGAACAAGTTGTGTACCTGTATGTAATCGGTGTAAAATAAAGAACAAAATAGGTACGATACTAAGTATATCAGTCTCAGACAAATATGCTGAGAAGATATACTATTAAGCAAAGTATACCACTGATATATAATAAAAAAAGAAAATAACAAACGAATTTTATTGACTTAGTATTAAAACCAAAACGTGCTAGTGTACATATGTGAAAAACACAAATAAGTGCTACAATAAATACCCCAAAATAAGTGTGCAAATCAAAAAAGGGATAAAAAATATATATATTGAAGGCACAGTTTACAGCACAGTTCTAGTTTCAGATAAGGGGGAGCACAGCACAGGATTAATTAAACCTTTAATAGATACTTTAATTATTATTCCTACTATAGCTTTACCGTCATTGAAACGGTTGTTTTCTCTCTCCTTCATTTTTTTATCTCTTTTCCTCTGTGTCTAGCAGGACTAGTGGTAGGTGCCCCTGAAGGCAAAAATATCATACTAAATTACCTATTTTCAGATTCATAGTTTTTTATTTATTCTGTTAGCTGGATGACAGTTAGGTGCCCTCGAAGGCACAGAGGTATTTTTTGCTATAGCAGTAATCTATAT